AACACTCATTGGTCAGTAGCCAGGCAGGAAGTACAGACAGGGCTACCAGATGAAGAGAATTCTTCAGCATGTGCAAAATGATGAATGTGATGCATTACTTCAATGAATCTGAAGAGGCAAAAACATCTGATTGTTTTAATAGATGAAGGCAAATCCTTTAAAGCTTTTCAGAAATCAATGATAAAAAAAATCTTGTGGGGGACCAGGAGCCTCCACGAGCAAGAGGGGCATGGGCATTAGGTCCCCACAAAGGCCTCATGCTTCTAGCCAACAAGTCTGCATGGATTATTCTCGCTGTGGGCGCGAGGATATTCCAATAGAGCCTTAGTGGCCCCAAGGAGAGAACTCGAGCATTTTGCTGCTCACAGCTGGAACCTCTGGGAGGTCTGCTGCAACAGGTGTGACAGTGACTCCTCCATGCTCGCGGGAGCAGGGAGGCCTGGGGGCGGCCACCTCTGATGGTTGCTGTGTGCTTTCACCTTAAAGCTCTGCGAAGCAGAGGCCCCAGTGCTCGAGAAGCTGTCAGTGAGCACATCAACTTCGCCATGTTGACTGATGGAAGAGTTTGTAGTGACGAAGAGTTTACTCTGTGTTCTAACTTCCAGATTAAAACAACGCCTGGGAGTAGTTCTACAGGGTATGTGGAGAAAATCACATGCAGCTCATCTAAAAGGAATGAATTCAAAAGCTGCTGTTCAGTTCTGATGGAACAACACTTACTCTGAAAGTTTGAAGGCACCAGGGTGGGTGTGGCTTTAGTCTTCGCTTGCCTTTTGGCTTTCCCCTAATTTTCCCCAAAGCACTCTGGTTCAATATCACCCTTACAACAGATTGTCTTAAGTCACCAGGGAAGAACCTTTCATCAGCTTTGTACATTGATTCCCCCCATCCCTTGAATGAATTTACAAATTATAAAACCATTTAAATTGCCAATATTTCCCTCCAATATGCTAGAGGTTCATATAAAATTCTGATCTCATCCTCACATTTGGCAAAGCCACTATAACATCTCACTGTCCTGATGTCCTTGTTTAATTAACGCCTGTTTCAACAATACTATCAGGGCTCAAGACTGGGGGATCATGCAGTTCCTCATATCTTAGTTACCTTCCTAGTGTTTCTCCATTAACTATCATCATCTTATCTGTGTTATTCATGTGGACATTAGATGGTAATGATCAAAAGTCCCTCAGCTTATATGACCCAGTCCATTAAGACATAATTTCCCATATGCTGTTTCAACTTACACAACAACTTTCTCAAGGAGGTATAGGCAGACATGCTAATCAGTTTTTCTACTGCTATGACACCAAGACTGATTAAACTTGTCCTATGTCCTTGCACCTCATAAGCAAGACTGTGAGAGTTAGTTCCCTTTGTTCTTAAAATGCCTTTTCTAATAAAAATAGTAGTCAGAGCATTTTTGGTTTTATCACACTTTCTGGTAGTGTGCCTCATTTACTGAACGAAGATTGTGCATTGAAAGATAGTTATCTAAAATTTTTATTGTGTTAACACCTGAGAGATATGTCTCAAGTTATCTAATTGTTATCCTCCTCTCATTGCTTCTCAATCTTTGAACTCAAGGAAAGCATGATAGCACAAGATTACTAGGACCACTTTTTGAGAATTACTATGAGGTGGCAAGATAAATAGATATCTTTCTTCTCCAAATCATACAATGCTATGGAGATGGGCACAGAAGTATCTTTTTCCCATCATAATCCTTCCCCTTATATGAGTATGTTCATCATAGGTACAAACCTGAACCGGTGGAATGTTACCTACTATCCATAGCCAGTGTCAAATGTTATAATTTCAGAGATTGAGAAATACCCCGTAGACTATCAGCAGATTGGGAGAACCTCTGAAAAAAAGCATTGCATTCCACACAATTTAGAGGAACACAGGATTCCTGGGATTTTATCTAAGGATCGTCCACTCTAAAGTATATACCCTTGGTTACATATTTGATCACTCATCACACAGAGCATACAACTGTCACTAAAGTTTCCTTTGGTTACATATTTGATCACTCATCACACAGAGCATACAACTGTCACTAAATTAGGTAGGTATACAACTCCATACAGATGAGCAGTTATTTATGGTAGGACTGACCTAGTGAATATTCACATCTCAGCAAGATCAACATCACTGTCAACTGTTATCCATCATAGAGGCCATGCACCTGTTTTCACGTTAGTTAGGTTTCAATCTGAAAGTCCATATTCTGACAACACTGTGTCATGTAGTTTTTTCTGGGAATACATGTGAAAGTTCTATTCAACACAGACAGAAAAAACAGAAGAAGTAGAAGGGATAGGTGGCATCCAATAATAGCTTCTTGAACAAACAAGTGTACTGTGGCTTCATTTAAAACAACAGGTGTGTGGAGTTCATTTCTCACTGTTGATGTTATTTGCAGGGCACTCAATTTCAACCTCATGTTTCCTGAGTGGATTTTAATCCGTGTTTCCTTGCTAATAGTGAAAAAATTTAAAAAATATCCATAGATGTGTAGGTTTAATTGCAAATGCAAAAGGATTAATATAGATGATTACTAATGACTTTGAAAATTCCAGTGTGAATTAATATATCTGTAATTTATATTGTCAATGTGCAAATCCCAACATTGTAGGTTTATAATTTAATTTCTTCTTTATATGGTAATGTAAGTATTCTACTCACTGAACAACTATACTTGAGTATGAAATCCCTCAGAGAATCAGGAAATAGAATGACATATACATATCTCAATGGAAGGTCCTATATGGATCTCCTGATAGTATACACTGGACCTAGTTTACCTCTAAGAAAAACAGCAGAGGACAGTTTCAACAAGCTCTGCAATTTTCCCTTAAGCAGTGATAGCAAGGAACTTTTATTGTTTTTGAATACTGACCCCAGGAGAGGCATTACTCAGAAAACTTCTTGGCACCACAGCCCTGTGTGCCCATGGCTACTGCAGTTGAAAAGGTAATTGCAGGTCTGACAGGAGGTGAGGTCAGAATCAATACCCATATCTCAGGCACTGGCTTCCTCCCTGCAGCTCACCTCCTGGTCACAGAGACCATGGCACTGAGATCAGCACCCTGTCAAATAGAATAGCACTGGGATCTCCTCCAGCTGCAGACCTTAAATCAGAGTTCAGAGTACAAGGAAGGACATCACAAGACTCAAGGTATGTAACCACTCCAAAAATCATTAGCTTGTAACTGATATAGCAACAATGCCTTATTAATCTTGGAAATCTAAAGCAGCACTCTACCCACAGAAAACTGAGGTCCTAGGCCCATAATAACGTATGCTCGTCTAAGTAGATGAGACCCCCATTGAAATGGCTGTGGTATATCTAAGTGATGATTTAACCTGATTTTCAAGTGCAGTTTTCAAGAGAGTTGTTTTAAAACCACCTATGCAGCTGGGTGTTGGTGGTGCATGCCTTTAATCCTAGCACTCGGGAGGCAGAGGCGGGTGGATCTCTGTGAGTTCGAGACCAGCCTGGTCTACAAGAGCTAGTTCCAGGACAGCCTCCAAAAGCCACAGAGAAACCCTGTCTTGAGAAAACAAAAAGAAAAAAAAAACATCTATGCCTCAGTCCCCCAAGTTGTCTTTTTCTGAGTTTCCTCCATGCATTCTGGCAATGGGTGGAAGAAACTAAAGGAACCCCATAGTTCTGAGTAAAGTTTGTATCTAGTGCTTATGTGCTGGGTTCTCTGTAACTCAGCACACATGGGCACAGGATTAATATCTACAAGGAAAAACCTGCAGGCTGAGCTCATAATGAGGCTGATCCCCTCTTATGGTTTGTTCATGTTAAAGTTAGCATTGGTGTAATGGCTCTCCACATCATCATCTTCATTTCTGTACCGTCTCATTCTTACTTCCTTAATGAGTTATCTCCCTTTCGTTATTAAAATATCCATCTAATATGTTATTCACTGAGAGGATGTTTGAGCCCAGGGGTCCATTTTAGTCTCTTTTTGTGCTGTATAATATAGACATGAATCTAAAATAGTAACAGAAGTTAACATTGGTTTTATGGACAAATATTATTTCAATTTTATAATAACAAAACGCTTCATGCCAACACAGTGCGAAATCACATATGACCACCACAGAAATGCTATTCATCAACAAAATTGCATTGCTTAAAAAAAGGTGTCTGAAAAAAAGAAAAAGGTGTCTCTTCTCCTATCAGTCAGCACTTCAGTGTTTCATCCAATCAATAGCAATGTTGAGCACATTTTCCATGTTTAATATTGGATAATTTCTTCTTTGTGGTAATTCAGCCATATTATTTAATTTGCATTGCTTTAAGTTTGATTTTACTTGTGATGGTAGCATAATAGCAAATAAGTCATTAGGTACCTATGTTTTATTATGACCATTTTCAGTCAATATCAATCATCTGTCATGAGGCAGGTTCCAGCTCAATTTTCATCATTATATAAAGATACATTTGTATTTGATGAATATAATTTTTATATCCAAACATGAACATTTTTATTATTAAGATTATACAGTTCTAGAGTAAGACCATCTAATTGTATAAAAATAAATCACAATGATAACTCCTTTATATTTAAAACTGACCTGAGGTGTTACAGATATTGGTGTATTACTGTACATTCAGCACTTTCAGTCAGTTGGTATAATGATGTAACTTCACCATTAATTAAGTAGGAATTTACAAACCTTTGATGGAGTTGAATTTCTCTCACTTTTCATTGCCTTTTTATATGGTCCAGAGTACTTTGTCTTCACTTTGAAACTAGCCGGAAAAAAAAATGTGTATGCAGCTTTCATAGCATATACATCTACAAATTGAGTTTCTAAAGTTATGAAACAACCTTTGAACCAAAATCTGTCATAAGTTTTAGAAGAACACTAACTGACTAACTGTAGATTGGAAGATTGGATTTCGTGCATTCCATGCAGCCTGTACCTAACCTTCCCATGCACATCCTCATGGTCAGCAAACAACAACCCACAACATGGCAGCTGGTGAAGTGGCCATAGGAGTGATCTTTTTATCACAGGTGGTGTTTGGAATATTAGGCAACTCCTTCTTAGCCTACCATTATCTGTTGGTTTACATTATGGGATACAGGTTAAGGTTCACAGACTGGATTTTACAACATTTGGTTGTAGCCAACTTCTTGACTCTCATATGTAAAGGAGTTCCTGAGACAATAGCAGATTTTGGTTTGAAAGACTTCCTTGATGATTTAGGTTGCAAATTTCTTCCCTATCTTCACAGAGTAGGGAGGGGTGTGTCCATCAGCAGCACCAGCTTCGTGGGAGTCTTTCAGGCCATCACCATCAACACTAAGTGCTCAAGATGGACAAAGGATAAAGTCAAGTCTCCATGTTTCATTGCTTCTTGTGTGTACATGAGCTGGATCCTGTCCCTCATAGCAAACATCGGTATTCCTATGAATATGACTGCAAGATGGAGCCAAAGAAACATGACAAACCTAAAAGAGTATGGATATTGTGCTGCTGTTTATGTTGACAAAACTAGTGACATCCTCTATGTAGCATTACTTTCAAGTCCCGATGTCTTCTTCATGGGCCTGATGCTGTGGTCCAGCGTTTCCATGGTTTACATCCTCTACAGACACAGGCAGAGAATGAAACACATTCAAAGGAGCCACTTGTCCCTCAGGTCCTCCCCTGAGACCAGAGCCACAAAGACCATTCTGCTCTTGGTGAGCACCTTTGTCTGCTTTTATGCAGTTTCTTGCCTCTTGCATGCTAGTTTGACTCTGATGAATGATCCAGGCTGGCTCCTGGTGAACATGGCTACAATTGTCTCTGGGTGTTTCCCAACTGTGAGTCCCTTTCTGCTGATGATTCATGACTCCCATGAAAACCCTTTCTGCTTTGCTCCTGCAAGGAATAGAAAACAATAACCATATAGGCAGCAAGTAATTTTTTCTAGTTAATGTTTAATTCTGTCTTCAATATCTGAAATGCATGTAGTACAGTGAAGAAACTGTCACATCATAAATATGAGTCTGACTAGCTACAGACACATATAAAAACATCGTAACTATTAAATTACATGTGATTCTGCATATCTCATGATATTTTACGATGGAGGACTATCACTTTTTGTCATAAATTATAGAAATATCATTCTATCAAAACAATGATAATCTGACTTGTATAGAAAAATTTACTTGATAGTTATTTTTGATAAAGCAGTTAAAATTTGATGATTCTGTATACATCTCAACTTTATCTTAGCTATTTCTTTTGGAAAGAAATTAAATAGGGTTAAATATGCTTGATTTCCCTTCTGGTCATGACCGGAGAGGTTTTACAAAACTGCTAACATTTGTCCTCAATGGAAGAGTCACTTGTGTTAATAAAAATGATGAGACTGTTTTGCAACAATTTGCCAATGAAAAGTTACTCATGCTAAAACAATAATACACATAAGAAGAATTGTCCAGAGAATACTGTGATTGCATTTGCCTGTTTTCTTTTATTCTTATTTCTTTGTTCCATGCTTCTGTGGAACTAGTTTTGATATTACCACATTTTATCTGTGCTATATGGTGGAATATATTTCCTATTTCTTAAATTTTAATTTTTAAATCTTAGAGTAAGTTTGAAAGTTGACCACACTACAAAGCTTTTATGAAATTTTAGCCATCACTCTTCACAAGAATAGGACAGGATACACCATCATTTACCATGCTTCAGTTTGTTTGTAATCTCTAATGGGTGTGTTTTTTAAAAGCTCATGTACAGAACATGAGTCGTCAGCTCACTGAGGTTTCATTGGCTATCCACACATCTCCAAGAAATGACGATGTCAATGAGACTAAACTTCGTCAGCCTCACGTCGATACTTTTTCTCATCCCATCTTACAACATTCAGGCATGACATCAGTGGTGTATGTTATGGCTCATCACATTCACCTGCACAGTTTCCAAGCTAAACCTAGCCAGCTATTCATTGTTGGTTATTGAACTGAACCACTGTAAGAACCTCTTCCTAGCACTTTTATGAACCAGCACAATTCCCACCTGCATTTTCAATACTTGTTATTATCGACCATCAGATAAAGTGTTGCACTCATTCCTCATGAAAGAACATTCTGGCTGAAGCAAGTTGAAACCATTAAAGAATTTCACAATAGATCAAAGTTCAGAAAACAATTGGACATTGGATTCATAAACTAATATATTTACATACAATTCCCATGCATAAGGATAAGGGAATATCACAGAATAGGGGGTAAAATGATCATAAGAGCCAGGAAATCAGGATGCCTTCTTTGAGATAATATTTTATACTTAAGGCCAGAAAGCTGCATGCATGAATTCTCAAGAATATAGATGCTGAAGTGAGACCTGAATAATGACACTAGTTGGATTCCCAACATGAATGGGGATAATTTCATTATGATTATTTCATAATTTCATAATCCTATATTAAGTGGAATAGGCAATTGCTTGCCATGGAGTGTAGGAGAGAAACTCCTTTTTGTTCGTTTGTTTTGTTTTCAAGACAGGGTTTCTTTGTGGCTTTTGAAGCTGTCCTGGAACTAGCACTTGTAGAGTAGGCTTGTCTTGAACTTGCAAAGATCCACCTGCCTCTGCCTCACAAGGGCTGGGATTAAAGGTGTGCACCACCAATACCTGGTGAAGGATAACCACCCTTGACCAGGAGCCATCCTGTTCTGTCATTATCCAATACCAAGTTGTCACCACAAAAACAAATACATGCAGGACAACATTGAATGGACTAATCAGGTTGTATTATATGTATAAACATATATAGAGAAATGTGTCAAGGATCATGTCTGATACAAGTCAGGAGCCAGGTTCATGATCAGTCTACAAATAATGTCAGGAAGGCAGCCAGAAGCTCTTTCTGGGGGTAGGGAGTCTTCTTATCCTGCATTGAGCACAGAGAGAGCTGTCTGGGCATAATGGTCTATAGTGGGAAATTACCAATACAGAGCCAAGTAGAAATATAAGGGTATTTAATAGGGAAAAACCTTACTTACAGAGCGACCTAGCCTAGGCGTGGCAGCAGTCTGTACGCAAGCCAAAAGGGAATGAAAGTGAAACACAGCCCTGAATATCTTACTCTATGTCACCCTGACCACCCTGACCATGACCTCGCAGGCATGGTCAGGCAGACCTGTAGCCAGCCCATAAGCAGGCATGACTACAGGTTCCCCTATAATTCCCCTTTTAGTCTAAAAGAGGATTAAAACTTAACAGTGTAAAGTATCCATAATTAAGAATCATAAAGGTGAAATATAAGAAGATACAATCTGCTTATGTCACATCCTAACTATCTATTTTAACTAAATCCTAAAGTCATCTGAAGAGGTGTCCAAGCCTGAACACCTCCTTCCAATCCCAACCATAAACAATAGGAAGCTATTGATAACTAGGTATACACACTATCCTAAATGACAACAATGGGGAAAGGGGCATAGCATCCTCCAAGTTACTTCCTGCTGAATTGTATCCATCCATGTTAGATGGGATTTGCTTGATTGAAGATCTCACTTGAAATCCTCAACTTGATTGAAGTCAGTACCCGAAGCTCATGATGGGAAATGTACTGTGTATGTTTATCTTATTGATTGTTAAATAAAATACTGTTTGGCCAATGAGACAGCAAATTAGAGGGGACTAGGAGTCAAAGAGGATTCTGGGAAATGTAGTAGATAAGTGGTGATCCAGGCAGGAAGTGACATAGCAAGGAGACTCATATTTAAAGAAGGAG